AGCCAGGATGGTCTCGATCTCCTGACCTCGTGATCCGCCCGTCTCGGCCTCCCAAAGTGCTGGGATTACAGGCTTGAGCCACCGCGCCCGGCCAAGAATTTGCATTTCTAATAAGCTCCCAGGTGATGCTGGTCCAGGGACCACACTTCGAGAAGAACTGCATTCAGCCCATTGGTAGCCAGTTATTTTTAGGAGTATTAAGTGAGGGGAGCACTGAATGCCCTCTGGTTATAAAGCCTCATCTTTGAAAGTTGAGTCTCTTTGTCCTTCAACTATGATTATGCCTCTGTGAATCACATCTGAGGTGACACTGTTCCTTCTGTGATCTACCCGCTTTAATTGAAGGGTTTGGATTATCTTTTATATGCCAAGCTGTATGCTTCTGCCTTGGGAACACAATGAAGTGGGTAGATTTAAGAACAGCTTGAACCACTCACATCACTAGTGTCCCCAAACCCATCTTTTAAAATTCAAAAGAATATTTATTGTTTTTATTACAAAAGCAATGCTTGTTTGTTGTAGAAAATATAAATAAAAGAAAAAACATCCTCATCTCACCCAAAGGTAACTACTCTATTTTTTTTTAGATCTTTTTCTATACATATCTGTCAATCCAAATATATTTGTAGAGGGTTTTATTTCCAAAAGACCTGGTACAAACTGTGTTGTAACCTACTTTTCTTCCTTAATCTATTGTAAATATTTTTCAATGTGACCCCTTTGAGCCCCTAGTTTCAACACCCTTTCTCCAATAAATAGAAACAAAATGCTGTGTTTCATTTTTCCTCCTATACACCTGCAGCTGGAGGGAGATTAATGAAAGGAAATGGCTGCAAAGTGGGAAGAGATCAATGCACGATGAGGGTCAAGGAGAAGCAGGCTCCCATGTCCCCAGCAGTGAAGGGCAGCTGTAGTTTGGGGTTGCGGAACCAGCTCCTTCCCACCTTTTGTTTGGAGCCAATGATTCAGCTGAGCACTTCTGGGTCCGGAAATGCCTCAGCACCAGAATCAAGTTCACACGAAAGCTGAATCAGGAGAATTTGTCTCGTTAATGGAGAGCACAGCCACAGGATCAAAAGGGCTAATTTCAGGAGAATTCTCCTGAAATCCTGCTAATTTCAGGAGAATTCATTGCTTCCAGAATTTTAGAGTACTGGTAAAGGTGGGTTTGGGGTAAAACCTTACTTTCCTTTCTCTATGAACTACAAAAACCTGCTTTCCAGTGGGTAGCGAATCATGAGGGCCAGAGAAAAGAATTTAATTGCAAATTTCTTAAGCTTCACCAGTGAACCCACTAGAAATAGACAGTGGACAAAACAGAGCAAGTAAATCCAGGACTCGTGAGTGCAAACGGCTTGTGTGCTACCCCAGAGGATTTCTCCTGTGGCGTGCAGTAAATGTGTGAGCTCTAATCACCTGGAGGGATGCATTCCTGGGGCACAGCTTGGCTGAGGCTGGCCACAGCCCCCAGTATCATGACCTCCTCTTTCTTTTCTGCAGAACGAAGTGATCAGCCAGCAGCTGTGCGTCATCTTCACACACTGCTACGGGCCCTACCCCATCCCCAAGCTCACGGAGATCAAACGGAAACAGACCTCACGCTTGGGTGAGTGATTTCCCCCGGGCCTGTGTTGGCTGCTGCTTTGTGATTTAAGGATGGGGAGCCAAAGAATGCCATAAAAAAGGAGGGAGGGGGTTCAAGGGCAAACAAGGTCGGTTCAGGATTCAGGCCGGGGGAAATCAGAATTTCTCCTTTATTGTGTGATGACACTGGAGAACATACCTTGGGAATGTGGACAAGGAGATTTGCCAATTAAAGGGACTTTCTCCCCTAGACACAGACAGTGGGGGCTGCGGAAGACCTCCTGATTCCATACACAACCCCTGCACGGGTGGCTCCTGAAAGAAGGCCACACTGCACATGGCAGCTCTGTCCCCCAAACTCCCCCCTCTAAAAGTCCTTCTTCCTCACTAAGAAGGAATGAGCGGGAGACAGTGAGGAGGAGCCAGGGCTGTTCCTCTAGTGGAGATCCTTCTACCGGGAAATAAGAGAAAAGGAGAACAAAGCCCCCCCGCCACACACACACCCATAAAAATATGAGGGGACATACCTGAGCTGCAGAGGCTGGATGCTCAGAAGTCCCATGACAGTCTCAATAACCTCTTCTTCTGGGAGGCGTTCACTGTGCCGGCTCCAGCCACGCACTTGACCTACCCTATCTCAAGTCATCTTCAGGCCACCCAAAGAGGCAGGCACTGTGACTCATCCTACATTATGGCTGCAATATCAGTACAGGCTGAAGCTGGAACTTGAACCCAGGTGTGCCCAGAAGCCGTAATTTTGTCATTCTGCAGTCCCAGCTTCTGAGATTTTTCAGAAGAAACCTTTCCATCAGGCACGAGGTTCTTTCAGAGGATCCTGGGGCTGTTGCAACCGGGTTGATCAACCTACAGAAAGGAGAAGGAATATCAGGCTGCTTTGAGGCCTGAAACATGAGCCTTCTGTTGGAAGAGCCTCTCTGCCTGCTGCCTGGAGAGTTATAAAATATTAAAGATAAAGGATTCCTTTTCCTTAGATAGGTTGGGGACCTTTCCTACTTCCTGTTTCCCTTTCCTAATAAAGTTGAAGGACATCTGAGTAATAGAAGACTGAAATTTCTACTCTTTAGCAAAATTTGAAAGGGATGAGCCAGTTTAGATTAATTAAAAGGCTGAATTCATGGGACTATTTTAAAGTTATTTTTGTTCCCATCTTGAATAACTTGTTAATTTAAATGAGACACAACTTTTTGCTGAAATGGAAAATTTTAGCAGCTGAGTCAAAGGCTGTCTATCTTTCTGACCACGTGTGGGGGAAAACTGGGATGTGCCCAAGTCACAGGTACTTCTCCCTTATAGGAAATAGGTATTAATTAAAATGTTATCAGGACAATACATTATAAAGACCAGTCAAGTTAGCAAACGTTAGAGAGTGTAGCAAACGTTAGAGAGTGAGGGGTACATTCCCAGGACACAGCAACAATCTCTGATGTCTCGGTGCCTCATAAGACACCATCCTTAGAGCAAACTTTTGCCAGGTCAGTTTCAGTGGCATAAAATCTGCTTTCCCTTAGCTACAGGTTGGGAGGGAACATTTTCTCCTCCTGAATTTGCTGAAGTTTCTTTCACTGGCAGTTAAAAGTTTCTGATTTGGGGCCGGACATGGTGGCTCATGCCTGTAATCCCAGTACTTTGGGAGGCTGAGGCAGGCAGATCAAATACCATCAACATCCATTGAGCATTTACTATAATGGTCACGTTTATTGAGGGATACTCATGTGTCAGCCGTTTTGCTAAGTGCGCTCCATAAATTCATTCATTTATTCCTCACTACTCTTAAGGTCAGGAGTTCAAGACCAGCCTTGCCAACATGGTGAAACCATGTCTCTACTAAAAATACAAAAAATTACCGGGGCGCAGTGGCACATGCCTATAGTCCCAGCTACTCAGGGGGCTGAGGCAGGAGAATCACTTGAACCTGGGAGGTGGAAGTTGCAGTGAGCCAAGATTATGCCACTGCACTCCAGCCTGGGCAACAGAGTGAGACTCCATCTCAAAAAAATTTTTTTTAAAAATTTAAGTTCCTGGTTTTCAGCCCAAGCATTAGAATTCCAAGCGTTAGCACCAAAAAGAAAAGAAAAGGCAGACCTAAGAGGCTCAAAGCTCATGATATGAAAGAAAAAGCATCATGTAATTATTAATGAATGGAATATAGAGCAGGTACATTTTGTGTCTTCAGTCCAGCAGCTCAAGCTAGCATAACTAAAGGTTGCCAAATAGTGGTTCTTTAGGGACCTGCTTTAAAGAAAAGACAAGAATGATTAGTGACAAGGATCTCAAACCAGCATCTCTGTGGGACTAGGCAGGTGATATAAATGAGTGAAATGGGTTCAGCGCTAGACAATAGGGAGTAGTGGGGACTGTGGCAAATC